ATGCAGTGTATTATTTGTTGAAACTGTACTTCCGATTTGATTTGAAACTGTCTCATTGCTATCTGTTTATCAATAAAACTTTGAAAAAAAAAAACGAAACTGTGTGTTCATGAGGAACTGAACAATGTGACCCTTTTGATTCTAGACTGTAAAACTTATAATTTTATAAATTATTGCTTTGAAAATTAAATTCACTACTTCTATTTTCTTTAGTTTGAAAACAGTATGTCAGGCACTGAATATATTACATTTCAAAAACCCTTACATTAACTTGGTTGGACCTCAGCAGGCCTACTGAAACCAATTTTAAGACAAACCCAAAGCTACTTAGTAGTTTTAAACAAAAATGTAAATATTATGCATTTTGCTTCCTTGATAAACACTGTTAGGAAATCTTCAGTTCCATAGTATTATACAAATTATAACTAATCTAGTCCATAGAATTTTGTTTACAAATAATTTGGTTTGGAAACAGAAGCATTTGGCAATATTTTGTTTCCAGAATAGTCAGACAAATTAAGTTTGTAAACTGAGGTACTCCGGAAATTAGCAGAAATATCCAGTTTCTCTGATAGCTACAGATCCAAAAGCTCTCAGGCAACAGCTGACAACATTTTCTTTCTTTTTTTTTTTTTTGGCAGAACCAGGGATTGAACTCAGGCCCTTGCGCTTGCCAGGGAAGCACTTATTCCACTGAGTGATCTCCCTGGCCCCCGGCTGACAACATTGATGCTTTACTTACCACCAGCGCTAGGACAAGTGTCCGAACCTTCTCTCCAATCTCAGGTGAGATGTCATTACCAAACTGCTGCAGAGTGGTAAGAAACCGTTTCAATTTGCTGAGTTGTCGAGCACCACAAGTGGCTGGCAACTGCTGATTTGTTAATGCTGATGATGTGGAAGAGGCAGGACCATTGCTGAATCTCTGTGGTGGGGATGGTGCACCGTTCAGGTTAGGAGGAGAATGGTTGATGCCATTGCTTACTAAAACAGAGCCAAAATGGGAGAATTTAAGTGCAGAGCACAAAGGGCCTTTTGTTAACCTCTTTTTTGTGTTCTTCTTCATCATGAAGAACCACATTAAAAGACTACATAAGACCCTTTGTTTCTGTCCTTAGTTGTTGTATAGAGAGACAGACTTGTCAGGTAAAAGTGTTAAAACAAATGTAAAATGAGTGCGGTGGTGTATGCAACTGAGTGTGGTGAGTTTGACACCAGCCTGAACTACATAGTGTGACCCTGTTTCCAAAAAAAGAGTTGGTGATCTAGTTCAGTATCAAGGACCTGGGTTCAATCCCCAGTGCCAGGAAAGGAGAAAAATCAACCATCTGTATCTGTAACCCCAGCACTCTGGGAGGTTAGGGAGTTTGATAAAAAATTCAATCCCAAGTTGAGCATGCTAGTGTATGCCTATAATCCCAGCATTCAAAGAGGCTGAGGCAAGAGTATCTCTGTGAATTCAAGACGAGCTCAAACTACAGAGTAAGTTCAAAGCTAGCCTGAAATACATGAGACCCTGTCTTGTAAGAGTTGGGAGCTAGGCATAGTGGTGCACAGCTGTAATGCCAGCACTTGGGAAGCTGATGCAGGAGGACTGCTGTGAGTTTGAAGCTTGCATGGGCTACAGAGTAAGTTCAAGAGCAGCCTGTACTGCATAGTGAGACTCTGTTTTTCGTTTTTTGGTTTTTTTGCCAGCTCAGCACGCCTTGAGGGTGGGACTGGCAAGGCATATGGTGCTGGGGATTGAACTGCGGTCCTCTATGCCTGTATAAACTTGCCCAAGCAGGCTCTTTAGACCACTGAGCTATCTCACTGGCCCCATTTTTTTTTTTTAAGAGTTGGGTTCAGGGGCTGGGGACGTGGCTCAGTGGAATAAGTGCTTCCCTGGCAAGTGTAAGGGCCTGAGTTCAATTCTCAGTTCTGCCAAAAAAAAAAAAAAAAAGAGTTGGGTTCAGGGGGCCGGGGAGATGGCTCAATAGAATAAGTGCTTCCTTGGCAAGCACAAGGATCTGAGTTCAACACCTGGCCAAAAAAAAAAAAAGAAAAAAGAGTCGGGTTCAGTGCCAAGGAGATGGGTTCAATCCCCAGTGCCAGGAAAGAAGGAAAAAAGTCAACAAACAAATAAATAAAAAACTCAAACAAAACTCTTAACACTTTATAACAACATATGAGCTTTTAAGTTGCACCAAAACTTGGTATTTCATTTTGACAGTCTAATTAGTGCAATGGGTTTTAGTTTGCATTTCCTTGATTACCAGAGAGGGAGACTTCTTTTATTTTTTTCCTTATTTTTGGTACTGGGAATTGAACTCAAGACCTTGCACTTGCCAGGCAGGCGCTTGTGCTGCTGAGCTGTACTCCTGGCTCCAATATATGGAATTAATGTGCTTGTTTCAGACTGTATTATGTCTCCTTAAAAATGCTATGTTGAAATCCTAACCTTTTGTACTGCAGATTTTAACTATATTTGAGAAATGGGATTGAAGCAGCAAATTTTAAAGGAGGTCAAATTACACATAGGACTTGTGTTCTTGCAAGAGAAGAGACAATAGGGTTCTCTTACACACAGATGAAAGGTCATGTGAGGTCACAAGAGAAGGAGGCCATCCACTGCCTAAGAAGGAAAGTTTCCAGAAAAACAAACTCATCTGTACTTTGATCTTTGACTTTTATTCTGCTGAATGAGTAAGAAAATGAGTAAGGTACCCAATACTCTGTTATAGCAACTCCAGCAAATGAGTATTATTACATTCTCTTTTCTAAAGGGCCTTATAATAGTCTTGGAACACTTTCAGAAGCAGTTCTATAATTTTCCTTGAATCCTATAAATCAATGTAATAATTTAAATTCATCAAGTGTGGTGGCACATGCCTAGAATCTCAGCAATCTGGGATATTGAGGCGGGCAGACTACAATATTGAGCCCTGCGTGGGCAACCCAGTGAATTTTGGCAAGACAGTCTCAAGTTCCCAGTACTACAATTAAAAAAAAAAAAAAAAAAGAATCAAAGAAGTACGGAACCCAGGGCCTTTGCACTGAACTATACCCAACTCTTTACTTTTTACTTTGAGAATGACTTTGTCAAACATGCTTGTATACTCCTGGGAAGCTGAAGTAGGAAAATTGCCAAGTTTGAGCCTAGTGAGAGCAATGTAGTAACCCAAAGAGACCATGTCATGAAATAAAACAAAAAGGGATGGAGCTGGAAATAATGGTACACACCTATAATCAGAGAGAGAGAGAGAGAGAGAGAGAGAGAGAGAGAGAGAGAGAGTGTGTGTGTGTGTGTGTGTGTTTCGGAATGCTGAGGCAGGAGGATTGCTGAGAGTTAGAAGCCAGCCTGGGCTACATAGTGAGTCTCAAAAAAAGAAGAAGAAGAAAAGAAAAGATCCAAAAAGTACTGGAGATGTAGCTCAGTGTAAAGGACTTGGGTTAATTCCTTATTACTGGGAAAAGAAGAGGGATACTGGCAGACACAGACTCTTGATCAATCACCTAAGCATATGACCTTCCTGTCTCAACCTCCCAGAATGCTGTGACTATAGGCATGTACCACCAAGCCTGGACATTTTTTTAAGACAAGGTCTGACTATATAATTTAGTCTGTCTAGGTTGCCCAGGCTAGCCTCAAAATTTGTAGTGATCTTCCTACCTCAGTCTCATGAGTACTGACATTATAAGTATGTGCCACCACATCTGGCAAGCTTCCTGTTTCTAATCTTTTGTGTTCCTTTTTCTTCTTCTTCCTTTTTTTTTTTTTTTCAGTACCAGGGATTAAACTCAGGACCTTACACTTGCCAGGCAAACACTTATTCCACTGAGCTATCTCCCCAGCCCTCCTTTTTCTTCTTCTTCTTTTTTTTTTTTTTTCCCCTTTTTCTTTTTGATATTGGGGACTGATCCCAGAGCCTTTGCACTGGACACCATATATCCCAGTTTTCTATATCTATGTTTAGCTGTATAGTATTTTAATACTATTTGAAAATGTTGGGCCTGGGGAGATAGCTTAAAGGCATAAACATCTAACTGGCAAGCACAAAGACCTGAGTTCATTACCTAGCTCAGCATGCCTTGCCAGCCCTAGAACTCCAGGCATGTCCTGCCAGCCTGGAACTGGGTGTGGTGGTGTAAGTCTGTAATCCCAGCACTTGAGAGATTGAGACCGGAGGATTGCTGCAAGTTTGAGACCAGCATGGGGGCTACAAAAAGTGAGCATAAGGCCAGTCCAGACTGCATAGTGAGACCCTGTCCCAAAAAAAGAAAGAAAGAAAGAAAGAAAGAAAGAAAGAAAGAAAGAAAGAAAGAAGAAAAGTTCAATAGTACATGTAGAAGGGTAAATGGAAGTCAGTCACAAATTTAAATGTCACTCTGGGCCATAAATCCAAGTAATTAAGAGATCTCACATGCTGTAGGAGTAAAGGACACTGGCCTCGGTCCTCCAGGATTTATTGGTGGGAGGGGTGGCATGATGGGAGGTGAGGATCTTGACTGTATCTTCACTTCCACAGGTGATCCAGGCATTGCTGGAACCCTTTTATCAGAACCAACTGCAGAGAAGAAAAGAAATGGAGGTCAGAGTTTCCTATAAGAAAATAAAAAACAAAAACAATTTGAAATATCAACATATTTTCCTGAAGAATTAAGAGGTTAAGAGCATGTTTAGTATAATGATTAGAATGTTGGCTTCCAAAAAGATATGTCCCTTATTTGGGAAAAGGACCTTTGAAGATGTAATTAAGGTAAGGTTCTTCAGAGGGGAAGACCATCCTGGATCTTCTGAATGGGCTCTAAATCCTAAGTGGCATCATTAAAGAGAAATGACACAAGGCTGGTCATGGTGATGCATGCCACCTGTAATCCAGCACTTGGGAGGCTGAGGTAGGAGGATCACCATGAATTCAAGGCCAACCTGGGCTAGATAAGCAAATTCAAGGCCAGCCTGCACTATCTAGTGAGATGGATGTGAAGAAAATGACAGAGAAACAACCAAGTGATGAAGAGACAGAGCAAGGAGCAAAATATCTACAAACCAAGGAATGCCAAGGTATCATCATCAAACACCAAAAGCTAGATGACATGAAGCTGATTCTCTATCTGAGGTCCCAAGAAGAATCAGCTCTGTTGATACCTTGATCTTTTTTTTTTTTT